AAGAGAAGGAGACCGTAGGATTCTTTCCTGACATAAGCGTGGTCATCAAACAAAAAGAGAAAAGGCCTCATACTCTAACATCCAAGATGAAAGGGACCAGCAGGATAAAGCAGAAGAATGACCTTATTTTTCAGTTTCTGCTTGACTAAAGATCGCTCCTGTTTATCCCCCCTGATGCCGTTCAGTGACTGGCCAAGCAGAAAGGATATTACGCATACATGCTACTAAGACACTGCTGCCAGAAAAAGAAACAGCTTTCCATTTCTTCTGTTTCCTTCCCAAATAGACATCTCACAACAAGGCAAAGGGTTACTACTAACACAGATTATTGTACTTGGAGAGGTAAGACTAGTCTAGGAGAAAATGCTCCATTTCAGGGAAATAAGATTAATCCAAAATGACATAATTTAATTTTTGCATCTACAAGGTCTGCGAGTGACTGCAAACACACACAAATACTCCTCAGCAAACATCTCTTCATACGACTTCATGGACTTCAGTATCGGGAAAGGAAAGCGTTACGTGTTAACATCCGCTCTCCTGGACACAATATATTTATTAGAGATATTTACTGGCCAACACGACAACATACTAATACTTTCAAGCTATAAAGCACAATCTTACACCCAATCTCCCTATCTATTCCACTTCTAGAACACTACGAATAATACTGGTCGGTAAATTAGTAATAAACCTAGTAAATGATAAAAAACCTGTTTCCTTGGCACACCGTAATTTCAATGAGATATGTGGCAAATAAAGTATGAACACCCAAAGCCTGAATTATGCTGACACAACTATGAATCTTCATTACCTGGAGCTGCTTCTTAACACGTTCATTTTTCTGTGTTTCTGTTACCCGTTCCTCCTCACTCCTGTGATTCATGACACCATCAGAAGACAGTTCTGCACTGGCTTCGGCGTTGTTCTCATCATGTTCGTCGTGTTCATTCTCAGTTGGAGGAATTACTGGTGGGGGAGGAGGTGGAGGAGGAGCAGACATCACAGATTTCAGTTCTTCTTTGGTCTTTTCCAAGTCCTCTTGGGCTGCAAAAGCCTAAATACAGTAAACAGTACTTAGCATCTTTTACAATCATTTATGAACAGTCAGAACAATAATAAGTATTTGAGATATTTTCAGACACATGGAAGCTGTCCTCTATAAATGAGAACTAGCTTATGCACTGAAAAGGGACAAATAGGAATACAGGGAAAGAAAATGTATGACAAAACCAGCTGTACCTAAGTCCAGCTACTTCCAGCACTAGACAAGAGAAGAGAGAATAGGGCAGTCAATACTGACTGCTTTCCAACCTTCCTGGTCTCCTGAAATTTGAGGCCCAGGGACTTCCTGAATCAAAAGGTGGTATCTTTGAATTTCATATTCAATTAGAATTTACATAATATGTTCACCACTTTTTGAACCTGTGCACACAATTAGTATTCACATCTCATAGCTAATCACATATTTTGTGAAGAAACACTGTCTTTCTTTGAACTATTGTCCAGTTGCATGTGACGAACCAGCACAAAGGCACATCTTTTAACCACTACTCATGATTTTATACACCTCCCTCCTGAGGTGTTTTCCAACACAAAGCACCAATCTATTTCATCATCATACATAAGGAAGCCACTTCAAATCTTTGACCATACCTTTGTGATAAGAATTTCCCCCCCTTCATGACTATTTAATATTAAGAAACGAGTTAAACAGAAGTATAGGCTGGCTTCAGTAGACTGGAGAAGAAAACCTTTAAGAAAGGTTTCTCTGAAGCCTAAAGGAAAGACAGATTCAACCCCAGGGACTTCCAGTGGGATTTCTGCACTCATCTCCCTTAGTGTCTTTGAAGTTCTGACTTCCCACAGCATGAGCTCATTACTTTGTGCTGCCATTCCGAGGCTTCCTCCTCTTTCTTTTTCTTGGCCTCCTCTAGAAGTGCAATCTTGGCCGTGAATTCAGCAAGTTCTGCTGCCTGGAACAAACCAAAAAACAAAGTAGAAATTTTAATTTGGTATAATTTTGGCTCTGCAGTGGAAGAAGGCAGAGTCTTTGCTCTGACCTGACTTGAAAGTTAATTACCATCCATCACTTCTCTGCTGAAAACAGAAATTTTAAGCATAGATGACAGGGGGAATGAATCAGTAATCTTGCCTGATAGAAGTAATTCCAGAAGGAAAAAAAAAAAAAGGTATTTGTCTCCTGCACTTCCAAAGCCTGCTGGGAAACAGCAAGCTGTAGTTAAAAATCAGCATTTGGGACTGTTTCAGTTTAATACAACCTTAATTGTTCCGGATCATAACCTCAGTACTATTAACCTAAATCTTGCCTTCAGAATTGTGTGCTAAGTTTACAGAAGATCAAAAGCTGTTTTACAGTTGAGAAATCATTTCTTCTACTATTTTCATGCCTTCCTCAGTTACTATGTGCGTATCTTGAATTAGAAGCCGTCAAGCACAGATTGTGAGAAGAAACTGTAAATGATGGAAACAGAGGGGAAAAAAATGCCAACAAAATAAACCAAAAAACCACCAACTCCAAACCAGTGTCACCAACTCCCCACTACCACCACCAAGCTGCAAAACAGACCAGAGAACAGGCTTCCCAGTGGACTGCAGAAAAAGCTACTCCTGTTCTCAGCTGGGTAAGCCTGACACTATTAGAAAGAGAATGCAGTGAGTGTTGTCAGTCTGAAACGTCTACTTCATCATTTTATTTCCTACAGCTCCAGAGCTTTATTTTCTTCCTGCAAGTAGTGGCAAATCTAATGTAGTTTTCTTAAAAATTTCCCTCAACAATCTGTAACCTTATACCACATACTTTTATCTGTGTTTCAACATACTTGTCCATTTGACAAAATGGATATAAACAGGAATATAGGCTAAATTTTTAACTATCTTTTTGAATTTGATTCAAAATAAGGTTAAAGCTTCTTACCAGCTGCTCCTGGTTCTTCATTTGATCAGCTGCCTGCTTGGCTAGAGCAGCTTTAGCTTACGCTCTTTTTCCAGGCGCTCTGCTTCTTCTTTAGCACGCTTTCGTTCTTGATCCAGTTCTAGAGCTTTTCTAGTCTGTTCTTCTAGCTCTGCCAAAAGGAGTTTGCAGACAAGACATCACTGCCAAGCTCCTCCTCACACGTAACACAGATAACAGCTGTAACACGCTCAAAATAAAGAAACCTAGAAAGCTGACAAAGATTTACAAGGCAGCCCCAAGCAAAGGAGAGCTGTTGAGCAGGTTACCTGAAGCTGTGCTCTGTGTCTGAATTTCCCCTCCACCCCTCCCTTTAAGACATACTTTGGATACTACTTCATCTCACCTGACAGTTCTGACTGCCCAGTGTTTCAGAAAATTATCACCTCACTGATAACACTAAACACCCAAATGCACATAGATATACATACACATACCACCCTCACTCTTACTACTGAGGAGGTTTTATATATGTTATATCATACTCTTAACAATAAAAAAGCCCAAGACTCTTCGCTATTGACATGCCTGACAAAGATTCCTTAATTGCAGCGGACAATTTGGGCACTTGCCTCCAAGCAAAGTGACTTAAGACTCACTGGAAGGGTCAGAAAAACGCTCCGTACCATAAAGACAAAAAGGTGCCAACAAGAAAATTTTAAATCAAGGGAGGGATAATAGTTGTCTAGCTGCCTGGTTAGAAAAATATTGCAATCTAAAAGGGCAGAACCCTGAGTGAAAAAGGAAGAAGTAATAATCTACCAGTGCTGCAAAGTAAGGTTTGCACAGGCAAAACACATTCCTCTGAATTGCAAAACGAAGCCACTATGATCAAAGTCTTTCAGAAGCTCCTTGCTGATCCTAATGATAAATTTCCCACTATGTTTTTGTCTAGACATAGCTGCCAGATTCCTTCACCAGAAAAACTAAACAACTGCTCAGTTATTGGAATGATCCATCTGCCCTTCACCATACGCTTTCATACTAAAAAAGCGTCTCCCCAGGTGTGCTGACACATGTTTAATCTCTGCACTCGCCGTTTTATGTAGGTCTCGTGTAATCAGTCTTTTTCAGTTGGGTTCCCAGGCCTATGACTTCAGTTATAAAAGTAAATGAACAGCATTACAAGTATGTGGAGTTGTACAAACGCAGTACTTCCAAAAATAAATAAAATACATAAATATGTTAAAAAATCTTCCTGAGAAGATGGGGAACACGTAACTACCAAGTCATCTACGGAGCAGAGACACCATTTACATAAACAATTTTCTGTATGTGAATAGAGGGCTAAGACGACCAGCAGCACGCTACTATTATTATGTATGGCATCAGAAATTAGGCTATATGGTTTACAAGAAAATGTACATTCTTAAACTTTCAGAATCACCCTGACAATCTTTTGTCGTGGGCTCAACAGATCTCCCTTAAACAATTCCAAGGCACCGTTCATGTTACCTGGCTGGATGTGTCCAACCTGTTCTGCACTGAAAGACTGAAAAAAGCAGGGATAGAGCCGGGGAGCAATGTCAAGCATATGTAATTTATTTGCCTAGATGTAGTCAGTGAACCTCTCTATCATACCTGAGGCCAACGGTTACGAACAGAAGAGAGGAACAAAACTTTTATGAGCGTGAACCGAGCCTGAAGGAAAAAAAGAACATGGAGACGAGGGACTGGGAAGCAGGGGAGACAGGGACTCTACAGGGCGGTTGAACAACAAAGTACTGTGATTGATGAAACTACATTTGTTTGCTAAAATCCTGTCAGATTTTGAACTTAAAATACTCAAGTCTTTACAGGGGAACAGGAAAAATCAAGGAACAAGGAATTTCCAAATAAAAAGCTAAATTCAACAAAATCCTAGAAGAAGTACTTTGAATCTTACTCTCTAATTTCCCTGCTCCCTCCAACACCAGGTCTTCAGCACTTTAAGCATTACATAATACTGAGTTAACTGTGTATGCATCACTTTCCTTGTTAAAGAAAATTGAAACTCCTGCTATACTAGAATTTGGTTTTATATTACAAATACACACATGCATGTAGACTATCTTTTAGCTCTTAATATTGGAAAAGAATCTCAAAGTAAGTAATACTACTAATAAAAATTTAGTGGCATAAATTAAAAAAAAAAGAAAAAAAAAAATCACACATACCAAGGGAATTGTGGAACTCAACTACCCAACTGACCTAAGCATTGTTATCAGACATAAGAAATCCAAGACCTGCAAGAGCTCACCTTTCTGAGCTTTCATTGTTTGTTCCTCTATTTGTCTTAAGCGTTCCATTAATTCTTCCTTTTCACGCTCTATTCTTTCCTTTTCCTTTTCTGCTATCTCCCTTTTCTTCTTCTCATTTTCTAACTGTGCCCTGGGAAAAAACAAAACCAAAAACAACAATAAAATATTTTTTTAACCTCAAACAGATTAAATTCTACTCTAAGGATGCTGGCAGCCTATTTTTCAGTTTACCCAGCTAGCAGAGAAGCATGTAATTTTAAATGTTTCAAATTCAGTTTACAATGCAAGAACCATCAAGTTCCTGTACCAAAATACCGTACAGAAAAACAATTTTTGAACAGAAGCTTGATTATGGTTCAGCCAGGTAAACCCACAGTTACACCCACATTTTAGACATGGCTGATGTTTCACCTGGGCTAGAAATGGAAACGCTATTTTTTTAAAATATACAACAGGTAAGCCATGACATTCTTCACTGAATTTGCTTCAAAGGTTCACCTGTAGAGCATAAAAGTCCCTAAGGATCAAGCAACAGAGTTCAGACTGTTTCACAAAAACATAATGAGAAACAACGATACAGCTACTGTTACCATGCTGAAAGCTCAAAAAAGATACAGCTTTCTATTAAGGCAGGTGAGCCAAGCCAAACCACAAACCAGCTTACATACTACAGAAATAAAACCAGCTCCCTCTTCTCCCAACACTAGATGTCAGATATTCTATGACTTAGATTTCTTAAAAGGCCAGAAGAATTTTTTTTTGTTTCATGGATGTTTGTTAATTACCTTTCCAATTGTTTCTGATGTTTCTCCTCTCTAGCTTGGGCCTTCATCTGTTGCACTTCAATTGTATCAGGTTTCCTCCTCCTCATGTACAATTCATGATTTCCCATACACAGTGCCAAAATTCGCTTGTTAATTCTCAGACGGGGTGCATAAAAAACAAAATCCTAGCAAAAATAATTGCAGCATATCCATTAATCTAAAAATACAGTTGTGAAAAGCCTCAAAGCATTACTGTATTCTTTGTTAAATTTCTTAAATTTAACTTACAAGTATTTTGACATGTCCTCTGAGCAATCTAACACCATAATCTATAAACCTAGTTACTATCGGGAACTTGCAAGATAAATTCAAAATTACACCTGGATTCCTCCATGCAGAGGTTAGCTAGTTTACATAAAACTATTTATTTAAACTTCTAAAAAAGTGAGACTATTTTCTACTTTATTTCTGAAGAGTTCTGACCTAGAAAATCTTATGAAATGTGCTGCTGTAATACAAAAAAGAGAGAGAGGTGGGGGTCCAGAGAATTATTCAGCATCTTACACTGTAGCTTTTCAACACACCACAGAGTATTAGTTGACTTAAAAATCCCAACATATCAAAAAGAAAAAAAAGAAAACTCAAGAGCATCAATGAGAATGAAGAGAAAGAAAATATTTACTCATGCCATAATGCCAGCACAAGTCTTTGCAGGCTTAAATCCCCTGATACACGAAGGCATACTATTATACACACTACTTACAGGGGCCTTTTTGTCAATTGGCTTTATGACAAATTTTTTGTCGTTAAAAGAGATGTTTCTTATTTCACTCCAAGGAAAACCAATCTTGGGTGTCAGCCTTCAAAGAGAAAAAAAGTTCTCATTAGAAGCAGTGAAGTGCATTAAGCCTTAACTCCATACCATTTCCACTATCATACCTACTTACATCTACAAAACATAACAGCTCCATCATCTTTTGGCAGACAATTTTTTTTTTTTTAGACATTATTCCATCAAATGAGTAAGTTACACAATGAATACATTACATGGCACTCTAACAGAAGGAATTTCAGTTTGTGACTTACTCCACTACTAAACAGAGGCTAAACATCACAATCATGTACTGATACTTTATAAGCTATTGATAATTTTATTTTGAGTGAAAAGAACAACTATATAAATTTGAGAAAATCTGACATTTCAAATACTGAAATTAAATCAGTCTTCAGCGATGATGTACTTCGGTTTCACTCTGATGTAAGATGCGCTCTTACATTTCCAAAGTTCAAGTTAAATTTCTTTCCCTTACATCTTAAGTAAAATAAATTCTGTTCAGAAACTGTTACAATGTTATGCACCAACTGCATAACTGTAAATATTTTTCTCCATGAGCACAGAAATTTTTTTCAATTCATATTATTTTAATTACAAGCGTTAGAAAACGTTTAAGTATTTGATTAACTCCCGATAGTTAGCAATGAATACCAAAACCTGCTTGATCATTCAATCTGATCTGAGCGTTTTCTGAGTATTTCCTTCTTTCAGGAGTTATATTGCCATCTAATGGCAATTAAGCCTTACAGAATTTTGTTACAGAGTATATACATCCAAGAGCATTAAGCTTCAGTTCAGCTGACAGCTGGTAGCTGGTGCTTAACACATGTTTAACTTCCAATCACCGTGAAAAGACTGTTGACATCAGATACTACTAACAAGTGTTTGGAAAGAAGGAAAAGAGTAAGTCTGTTGTTCTGTTTTCAAATTCTTCAAATTTTGTACATTTCAGCTTTATCCCTCTTCAAGAAGGGCAGAATATTTGACCTCTTTATCAGGACAGAAGATTCATCTATTTTCTTGAATGTCTAAAAGGTTTCACTTTTAGATACCAAAGTGCTTTGTGCTCTACCAGCTACAATCCTAGTCACTGCTCTTACAAAATGTTTCTCATTAAATACACTGCTCAGCTTCTCAATGTCCTTTTCGTCCTGGCTGAAGAGGAAGTCTTGAGGGAGCAAAAAGTACAGAGGGAAACTATACAGATGGTCTAGTTATCATACATCCATATTAAGCAACATACATTTGTTTCCACCCAACTACCTTCCTTTTCCTTCTTTTGCATCCCTATTTCATCTTTAAAATTCAAATATTCTGCCAGTTAACATCTGTCTCTATTTTTCTATCTTTTACAGAGTTTAGAGGGTCTTTGAGAACCTGTTTTAATAGACATTACTGAACACACAGTAAGGTGGGTTTCGTACAACCTCAGACAGTATCTCCTAGGACACAACCACAGAATGAGTATTAGTCACTTACTTATCATCATGCTCATAAATGTTCAGACCCAAAGCATCGACTCCTAGCCACAATTCGGTTCCTTTTTTATTCTTTATTTCAAAATAGTTGACTCCATACATTTCCAAGTCTTGTGCTATCTTAAGGTATTCCATCATAGAATCTTCCCTGATGAAAGAAGAAAAAAAATGGAAGTGTAGACAAATCAAAAGCACATTGTAAGAATAAGAGAACTGCAAAACAATTAAATAGTATAAAACTTAGTTTGAAATTCATGTGTACATTGACTCAGATACTTGTAGAGCTCTATACCCCGATACCCAAGTACAGTGCAATCGTCCCACTTCATCTTTTTACCCCATGAGCTAAGGAGATACTAAATATATTTTCCAGGCAGACCACTGCAGGCAAAAGCCGTTGCGAACTCCACCAGAAATCATGTAGGTAAGCCAATAACCTAACTGGAAACTCAATCCTCACTGAAGCTTTCATGGAAGTCTTTGATAACTGTCTACCCTGGTCAGAATAAAAAGAAAGCATTTTCCAGACAAATATGCCACCAGCCAGAATACACCCTAATAATCAAAAAACCTTAAAGGTCTTAGAACCTTTTTTGCATAATTACCTTAACATTCCCCTGTGTTCTTCATGCCAGTTCTGTATTCTTTCTTCCCACTGTTCTTTTGTCAGTTTGTGCTGTTCTAACACCCTGTGAATAAAAATTGTTGTTATTAAATGACACCAACAATCAATTTAACCTCTTCAAGTTATAAAAATTAAGTGTGGCTACACAGCATAACATAAGCTTTAATTGAATAAACTTAAACATGACTTTCTATACATTGCTTTCTTTCCAGATGCAGAAACGCTGTGTTTCACCAAATACACTGTTAAAATAGTCTGAAATCGCCTCTTTTTCATGGTTTTCAGTACTCTGTAATATAAAAGTCACACCATGGCACATCTCAACTTTCACAAAAGGTAATGTTTGGAACACCTGAAAATGCAGACCTTTGAAATTCTTATACAGCAGTGACACATATCTGTCTCTAGGTATGCTCAGACACACTCCATTCGAAAGAAAAAGCAACACATTAAGACAAGCTGGCAGACTAGTCTGCTGGGGAATTTGGGGTGGGATTTTTGATGTTTTTTAAATAAACAGAATCAACAGTGAAGCAGTTTCAGAAAGCCATCTGAGGTTCATCTACAGCAGGCCACACGATGGATTTATACTTTGACCTACTAGAACACCCAATGTAGTACTGCAGTAAGAAATCAAATGCATCTGCTAACTTCACTAGCCTTTTATTCCATGGACTTCAAATCCCATGCATTTCAACCATTCCTAGAGAAATTATTTTAATAAACAATTTTTAGAAATTAAAAAAAAAGGAGAATGCAATATAATCTTACTAAAGAAGTCAGAACAATAATTTTCTTCCTTTCTCAACTCAGGAAAGTAAGGATTTACTACTTTTCCCTTCACTTTTAACAAAGTACAATATGGAATAGACTGAGTGATGAAGAAAATACTAAAACAATGTTTCTTCTATTATAGGATCGATCTTTTTGTCACTCTATTTGCTACTCAGCCCCATACCGAGTGAAGTGCAATTTTCAGTAGTGGGTATATCCCATTTCGATTTGCTTAGTGTGCATGCCTACCATCATGCTTTCCTCCTCAAAACTGAGGCAGAAGTTTTAGTTTATGCACCTGCTCGACATGTTCACAGCTAAATGATACAAGAACATGCCATGAAAAGACATCTTTTTGGTTTGTTTGTTTTCTGATCTTTATCCTTGAATACCTTCAGTATACTGCCATCCTTCCAGTACCTGAAGGGGCTACAAGGAAGCTGGGGGGGACTTTTTACAAGGGTCTGTAGTGATAGGACAAGGGGTAACGGGTTTAAATTGAAAGTGGGGAGGGTTAGATTAGATATCAGGAAGTTCTTTCCAGAGAGGGTGGTGAAGCACTGGAACAGGTTGCCCAGAGAAGCTGTGGATGCCCCATCCCTGGAAGTGTTCAAGGCCAGGCTGGACGAGGTTTTGAGCAACCTGGTCTAGTGGAAGGTGTCCCTGCCCATGGCAGAGGGGTTGGAACTAGATGATCTTTAAGGTCCCTTCCAACCCAAACCATCCTATGACTCAGTAAGCACACATCTGTCCACGATACATCACTATGGATGTACTCCAACATCTGCACTAACAAAGTTGTCTGACTTTGAACATTTGTGTTGCAATGTTTCTTTTGCTGCTAAAACATGCCAGGAGCATGGTTTCAGTTGCATAAAGAAACAGAACTGTAATCTTGGTGCTTACTTGTCCTAACCACATTGATGGGTTACTGATACAGAAGAGTTTATACTCAACAGTAATGGCAACAACTCAGTTTCTAGATTTTCTGTCCAGGCTAGCATTTTTCTGCAATAATTTTATTTGCAATATACTTCATAAGTATTTTCAGAAAATTTTCATCATTTAAGTGTACAAAACCATCAATAACTAAAGGAGCATCAAACGAATCTTAGTGGCTTCTGTATTAGAGTATTTTAATTTTAATTTAGCAGAAGCACGCCTCCAGGAACATTAGAACATTTTGTTCAACTAAATCTGTGCACATGGTTGAGGACAGGACAGGAAACAGGTCTCAAGAAACCCATGGCTGTGACTCTTCTTTGGTACTTAGAGCCTAAATTAGGATCTCTAAACCTTACCAGCAAAACATGCAGTCTTAAGAAAGCTACCATTGAATGCGTATTATCACTTAGTATTTTAATTATAAAAACTGTGCTGTAATCAAGTTCACATGCAACAGATGATGCATCAGTCTCACTCACCGCTGAGGGAGAAGTCGGTCATTGGCTAGGTAGCCTAGTTTATGTATCTCCTTACTGTAATCTCCATACTTGGACTGGACAGCATAGGAAGCCAGAAGAACTGCAGTTTCTGGTGGGCAATATATTTCATCATTTAAGATCGCTTCTTTGACTTGCAGGAAGAAAAGTCTCTGAGTTATTTCCTGAATTAATTCTTCAGATACATCCTCTGGAAAAAACTTGGCCCTGAACTTAAACTGCAAAGGATTTTCTTTCCTTACATCCTGCTGTGTTACCTGATGAAGAGGAATAAAGAAAAAAATAAAAAGAGCACTAAATGGTATATTAAATATAATGAACTCCATAGTAATGAACTCTTTAGCTCCTCTACACTGAAATGCAGTGCTTCCTGACAAGCCCACTGTAGAACTCACTAAAGTTCACATGGCACTGAATCAAGTACAGCAATTTGGGTAAGTCAGACAATTTTGAAATGCTGCTCAAAGGCTGTTCAAGAGGGTATTTCGTAGGCTTGTGTGAATTTATATTTATCACAATAAAGATACGCAAAAAAGAAGTTGTAATACATATAACAAAAAAAAAATCAAAACTATATCCAAGGATAAATTGCAGGAATTAAGAAATCAGGGTCTAACAAGATTTCTTTAGCAAGAACTACAGCACAGTTCTCCAATGAAAAGTGTAAAGTTGGATTGTTTTATAAGTCTTTGAACTAAATACACGTGCTTTGCTCCTGTGCAAAAAACGTAACACCATTAATCACATTATTTTTTCTATAATGGATAAACACTATAATATTGATTTCTGTGACGATACCAGATATGGTCATCTTAAGTTTTAACTAACTGCCTACTTCAAATTTCAACCCCAAAAAATTCATTTTTATGTAGAATGCATTTGGGGTCAGCTCTCAGCACTCATTATGACTGAAGCAAAACCATCCAAAATTAGTTCAATTTTAACATCAAATGCAGTGATTGTTAAAAGGCACATCCAGAGTAAAACAATATATAGTAAATATACACTATACAATACAATAATAAAACAAATCTTACACATCCCAGTTCCTCGATCATTTTATTACACATTTAATTTTATGCATACTAGTAGTCCCTCAAGAACTTCACTACACATGAAATGATGCATATTTGATGGACTTGCGGGAAGTCAAAATCAGTAAATATAATGCCACCATTTAATCACGTATTTAAGGCAGCACAAGTAGTATATTCACGATTTCAGATGTTAATTTTAAAAGTTTTGCTCACTCTTCACTACTGTCCACCTGCTGCTGACTTACATACACAGTATTTCACTTTAATCTCACCCGTGAACAATGAGTTGTGCTCTTGCCACAATAAAACCTTATTAGCATGTATTCTGTGATTTATCAAATTTTATCTGTATTTACCACAAATATTTAAATAGTAACTTACAAGTTATGTTACAAGCTTTAAAAAAAGAGAACTCTCAAAGCATACCCTTGCTGTGCCTGAACTGCACCAGCAACTTAACTTGCTAAACACCTTCAGAGAGCAATGTCTTCCGTATTTTTCATGGATGATGCACCAATTCCCATAGTCTCTGACCACTGAAGGCAAGCCATTAGGGTAACAACATATTTGTAGCACTACAACATGCATTGTGTATGAGACAAGACATATGAAATCCCAGGCGACCGCTTTTATGGTTATCAGGTTTAACTTGCTGGCTTTACCACAGAGAAGGAAAGATTATGTAAGTGCAGACAGTGGGACTTGCTCCTAAAATCTTCCCAGTTTACCTCCTAATACTGAAGATAAAAAACGTATCCTTGAGTTAAAACATATCCTTGAGTTGAACTCAAAAAAATCTCTTTATTCTAAACACTGCCATTAATAACCTTACAGCCAACATTAAAATAAAAAGTGACCATTCAAATCCATACATGGGATTTAAAGTAAAATGACCTGATTCCCAACAGCTGGGAGACACAAGGTATACAGTGCTGTTGGGGAGGGGGGAATTATCCTACCATCTACCTATCAGAGACCAAAACAGACATTTAGGAGCCTGTTACTGGTGCCTTGTTTAAAGATCTATAGCTGTATACACACAAATTCCTGAAGCTCAAATACTTAACACACACACCCCATAATTGTAAAGCAGCTATTCAATTATATTTTGCTACATGAAAACAGGACAATCATACGAATTGAAGTTTTCTCAATGCATGCATCACCACAGTATGGGAAATATAGGAAATGGCATCTTCTTCTCAGGTTAAATGTTGATGCAGTTTTGAATATTCTTCTATAACTAATCAAACGTAGCACCGTATTTTGTCAATGAAAGCAAGTTGAAAGCAACTTTTCAAGTAAATTTGAAGTCAACTGTATCCGACCTACAACACTAAAGCAGTAAACCTCATATAAGCCTTATAAAAGTATATTCCAAACCGTACATTTGCCTAAATATTAGGAAATGGTTACCTTTTTATTTAGCTTCAGCCAAGTTGAGTAGCCTTTGCTATCCACATACTGCAGCCCAAAAAACCAGACTTCACGAAGACCAACAGTTTTCACCACCTAAAGATAAATGATCCATCATCATCACTAACAGCTACGACAGCATTTTTTTTTAAATGGTAATTAAGCTACAGAAACCATCTCAAATTGAAATGTAATCAAGTTTTACAAGAACAAAAAAAAATGAAAATAGCAGCAAAACATCATGTTCAGACAAGCCTCCACCTCAGAGTTTTAAATAAACTGAAACACCGTGTTGCCAAACTCCCGAGTGTGCAGCTTACTGTGCACATCAAACTCGGCACCTGAGGAACACAAGGTAGCAAACAGGACACCGACACTTGAAAGCACGTCTGGGATGTGATCTGCAGACCTACAGACAAGGAAGTCCACTTCAACAGAAGCCAACTGGTGAAACTATAATTAAAGAATAATACTTGTGGACAAGAATGATGTAAGGAGGATGAATCATCTTCAAATATTTTTGAGATCTTCTAAGAGTTAAGGACAAAAGGGGTAAGGATGATCTAGCTGATAACCCATACATGGATTTCCTATAAGATTTTTGATCAGGTCTATTACTGAAGGCAACTAGAGAAACAAAATTGTCCTTGAATAGAGGGAAGGCCTTTTTATGGATCTACCAGTTCAAAAGAAATTTAAAAAAATAAGCAAACTGTTTTCGTAACAGATGTAGTATAACCACTAGGGAAGTCCCCCAGGACTTCATACGTCATCTGCAAAAAAGGATGAAACCGATGTGCCAAAACCTACTGTAGAAAACCTTCTATAAAGACCGGTGAGTGAACAGTAAAAAGGAAGATGAACCTCAGTAAAAGATGATATTCAATTGAAAGATAATACTGCATGTAAAAGGCAACAATTTTAATTACGCACACAAAGTTCTCATTGTAAAGGGGAAAAAACAAAGCTGTTGTTATACTATACATGTCTATGCTATTCCCAAATCTCTAATACTATATGTGGACTGGTCACATCAACTTAGAAAAAAGGATGTTGCAGAACTGGAAATGTTTCAGAAATGTTGAAAAGAATGATCAGTGACATGGAACGTTTTCTGCATAGCTAAGATGAGAACTAAGGCTACTGACAAAGAAATGAGGCAACTGAAAATATGACATAGGTCTATAAAACTTGCATGGCTTGTAGAAGGAAAATAGATTGATTATTCATTATTTTTCATAATGTAAGAATTAAGAGAATCAACAGAACCCTTAGACAGAAGGTTCAAAGTAAACAAAACGAAGCACTTGTACTACACAGAGTATACTGAAACTGTGGAACTATCTTACAGGTCTTTTGCAGAGTAAAAGTACATGTGGATTCAATAAGCAATTTATCAGAGGGTCCAGCAAAGATTATTTAATAATGGTAAACTCTGGCTCCACAAGATCCAGTATGGCAGTACTTACATACGTTCTCAGCTTGGACCGTGCTGTCAGTCTGGTTTACTGAAGGCTGTTTTATGGAATCATTCAGATGCATGTGAAGTAAATAGTATTTTACCCATAGTTCCTCCTCCATTTTCAAGTAGTACTATCGGGTTGTAAAATTAAGATTTTGAAAATTAGAAAATGTCACAAGAGAACTGTGCAAGCTTACTTCCAATGCCTTGCATACTTGTATTATTACTTAACAATCGTCCAAGCGTGCACCTTTTTTCTTCTTCTACCCTTCCACCTCCAAGCTCCAATGCACAGGATGACAATGTTCATGGATCCAACCTGATTCCTTTAGTGAGCACAGTAGATTTCCTACATCATAGAATGGTTTGGGTTAAAGACCATCTAGTTCCAACCCCCTGCCATGGGCAGGGACATCTTCCACTAAACCAGGTTGCTCAAAGCCTCATCCAGCCTGGCCTTGAACACTTCCAGGGATGGGGCATCCACAGCTTCTCTGGGCAACCTGTGCCAGTGCTTCACCACCCTTTCCAGGAAGAACTTCTTCCTGATATCTAATCTAACCCTCCCCACTTTCAATTTAAACCCACTGCCCCTTGTCCTGTCACTACAGGCCCTTGTAGAAAGTCCCCTCCAGTTTCCTTGTAGGCCCCTACAGGTACTGGAAGGCTGTAAACATAATTTACTTGAGCACATCAGAAACATTAAGAACAATTTTATGTTACTAGTATGGTCCTGAGTATGATTAAATTTGGTGTTCCAACACAGAAATTTCAGACCTGCTGCTTCTTTTGGCACAGATCTCCTACATGATGCTGATCAAACTACTTCTGGCTTTATCAGATGACTGAGAATGCTCTTTACTTTGCAGCTCTCCAAGCTAAGCCTCTGTACCCGGATCAGCTCTCTGAGCTGCAAAGAAATCAGTAAGAATTGCAGATGCTCAACAGCTCTGCCCATAAGGCATAAGGGGCAAGTGCTTATGCTTACATCAAAACATTTTGCTCTCACCTCCTAACTACAGCCCTTCAACCGAGATGCACATTGCACATTATTTAAATACAGACAACTCATCTACTGCAATGCAGTTAGACATGCTTGCAAATCAATGCTAGAAGCACCTTACACATCAGCCTCTTTTACTTCAGACTCCACAAATAAGGAAAGAGCATACTCTGTCACTGCCTCCCAGCCCAAAAGAAAAAGAAAGAAGTCTTCTGAAACTTTGTACTAAGACAATATAAGCACTTATGTACTGCAGTAGTGTGATATGAAAAAGTACAGAATGAGAAACTCCGTTCATCAAATGCTGAACTCTTGTCTGCTAGCAGATGAAGATGATGAACACACACATGGAACGGGAAACAAATCAACAACTCCAGAAAACGGCAATTAAAAGCTTAAAAGAACTACTGACGGAAAAAACGGGACAAGTTGTTCACCAAAAACAGAGGAGCACTAGACAACAGCCACATTCACAGAGAGGTTATTTTCTGCAAGCAATAACCAGCAATTCTACTGTGATATCCACCACTTCTGCACAAACCCTGAAGGCCAATCCTCCCAATAGCAGTGCTATTCAATTCCTTCCATACAGAAACAGCACAACCTTGGTCTGAAAATTTCATGCTGATTTTGCGGTACAGTTCAGATCTTGATGTTACTCTGCGGAACTTGCATATGAATTTAAGATCAGGCTGAAAATGCTTCTCTACTCACACACCACTATACTGGTTGGTTTTCCTTGACCTACCGATTTTTCAATTTAAATTTCCAGAAGTTGATTTTAAGAGGTGGTGAGATGTCAAGCACCACACAGTTCCCTGAGGAACAAAGTTGGAGAGAGAGAAGACACTAGAGCTGTATCTTTGTTCGCTGTTTGTGAATGCCCTAGTTTGGATGAACCTGATTACCTGGGCACAAACTATTTCACAAGAGAACGTCACCCCACCCATTACTGCATGGCAGAAGATAGCAAAGGTTGGCAAAAGACAAGTAACAGTTGAGGCTTCTGTGCTGCAGAATACTGTACTTTTTATTTGATGGTGGTGTTGGTTAGACAAAAAGCAGGACAGCCCCTTTCTTCAAGAAGACTTTGTAAGAGTGCTGATGTCTACTCCTATGCAGAGGCTGAAGATAAACTGCTACTGATGTTAAGAGAAAGGGGCAGGGGGTAGAATTCTTAAGAGTCAGACCGTCATTTCAAATGAAAATTATAAATTAAGTATCTTTCATCTAAAAGAAAAAGCTCAGTGTTACAAACAATAAACATTCTCCTTTCAACTTATATACCAAGACATTTAATCGACTTAAAAGTTGAAGGGTTCTTTAAGAACCCTTTCAGTGCGTTACTTTCTCTTCATACCCACCATGACCTACTTAGCACATCTATAGTGGCATGGACAAAAGCAATTCTACTAGACATAACTGCTGAAACCGTGAAAGAGTTTTTGAAGAGTGATTTTGAATATTTTTGCATTTTTAATTAAATACATACATCTTGGATCTAGAGAATGTATTTATTGATTTCTCGAGGTAAACCAAAATGACACATTGACAAGCTTCTATTCTTAACATTTTCTAGAACACTCCACAAGCCAGATCAAAAAATATTTCAAGAGTCTGACAGCTAACAGAAATGAATGCGAGAACAACCCTTTTTAAGAAGTCATTAATTTAGCCCATTCGACTGGTATATGACAGACACACTATCAAGTGAGAACATGTAGTTCTGATGGGTCTGCAATCCATAAGCACAAAGCCATCACTTTCACTTTTCCACTTAGTCTTTTTTAACTTGTTTCAAACTGGATCATAGGACTACATTACTTTTCTGACATTCCAGAAGTGAAAAAGTACCTACAGCTTTTATCGTTAGATTCATTATTAAATAGTGAAGGCTATACAGATTTCTCATACACACAATTCTAACAATTACATTGCAGCTGCAACTGTAATACAATCAGACATTAAAAATACCATTCATTTCAAAGCAGTTCTAAACACGACTCAACTGAAGTTCCTTTTTTAACCTATTTACAGAGCTGTCTTTGAATTCAAGACATTCCATGAGAAGTAATGAGGAATTTCAAACTAACCGAGACCATAGCTGAGATAATGTAAGGAAAAACATAACCTATACATGAGAACACTGCTGCCTCCTCAAACTATGCCTTAATACCCACGATATGTTTGTACACATACATACAGAGACACATAGGAGTTACCTGATCAAAGAGCTGCTTGCCTGTTGTGTTGGGCTGGATGGCAAATTCCAACTCTGCATCCATTGTGGTGACTCTGACATTGATCTACAGAAAATAGAGCAATATTTAAATCATACTGTAACAGTGTAATGCTTCTGTATACTGTGAGTAGCCTGTAAGGAACAATACATACTAAGTAAACTCAACAAATTTTAATGGTCTTGTATACACACAGAACACAGCAGATATAAAAATGGAAAATTTTAATATAAAAATCCCTCATCTTTTACTTAGTATAAAAGCATATTCAGGATAATGTTTAACACAAGGTTTGAAGCTCAAACCAGGGAACAGAGTTCACAATCAATTTAATGGGATAGCTGACATGACTACTGAACACTCAAAAAAACATGGGGACATTCAGCTACTGGGCACAATCTTTCAGTGGGCTTCCCAAATATGTGCAAAAGTTCCTAGTCATATGCATACCATTTTAAGGTATTTATACTTGGCAATCTAAAAAGACAAGCAGCCTCCTGCCCTGTCATTTATTAAATTAAGAGGTTCAGCAGTCTTAAGGTACATGGGACTAGAGTTTGTATACCGCAGGACAGACTAACAGCAGATTTTTCATCTACGGAAGGAGGAACTATAGGAGTTCACTCCCCTTAATACTGATCCCATTCAGTTTCCTTATTGCAAGACTGAAAAACCACTTGGAAGTACAACAGTCTGTTCCAGTTTCTCTTCAACTGGTACACACAGAAGTGAGAATTTTCAAGAAACAGAACAAAATGCTGAATGTACAGAACCATCTTCTCCCTGTTAAAATGGTCCTCCATTCCTACTGCTATTTTATTTATCTTTAATGAACAGATATATGAAGTGTTAAAGGTCAAATTTACTTTGCTATAAATGCAAAAACCAGAAATATGAAACATAAGGTTCACAGATATATTCAAATTTCTCTGTCTCTACTATAAAATATAGAGCATGAATACATTAGGACTTGTAATACAAGTTACACTACTTGATCTACGCCTGCGTAAACCACTTCCATTAACTATTTCCCTAATTTTACCACCAGGTGGAATACACTGAGAAGTGAGAGTCCCAAAAGGTCTCTGCAACACAGGAGGGAGATCTAAGGCATGAAAAAGAAAACTGGGGGGAAAAAAAATGTCCCCATGCAACAGATTAAGCTTGTTCACTGGTTAGTGTCAAGTTAAACAGCTTTGGGCATGACCTGGATACACAAAAGTAGCAGGAGTCTGAGGACCTCTAGGTTACAGACCTGCAAACAAGGAAGATAGCAGGGGTTAGCAAACTTCGTGTGCAAACACTGATAAAGAACAAGAGTTGAAGGCTTTGGAGTAAAGGATAGTAAACTTTTATTGTAAAACAATATTAGAGGGTGTGTGTCAGTAGGAGGGAAAAGAGGTGTTTTCTGTAGATTCTCTCACTCTGTCTATTTCAAGAGGACGAACTGCTTGTTCTCAAAGAGTACCCCAATTTTAAATGGTAGGTGTAACTTGCTGCCGGTTCCACTGGTTTAAGTGTTGGGAGTTTGTCCCTTAATTACAAGAAGTTAATTTTTTTTAAAGCAGTTTTAGAATTTTATAAATGAAGCCTGCTTTAGGACAGTGACAAGTAAGCAAGTTACAAAGGATAAAGCTAAAACTTAACTTTATGAAATGCCAAAGCACTCAGTTATGTAACAGCACCACTGCCAAAACAAGAAGCATCACAGAAGATCTACAGAGCACAGAAAGTTCAACTAACAGCAGTAGACTTCAGAGTTGCAGCAGAAACATCTTACATAAATATACTACAACAAATGTCATCTTCAACAAATGCAAGAATTACTATCTGAAAGTCTATATCCCTCACAAGAACCAAAATACTTAAACAGTAAAATAATAGACATAATACAGAGGCAAGCTCAACGCAGCCTGTAGATTCTGGATGTTACTACCTCAAATAAAAGCTGAGTACTAAAAGAGTGCAGAGCTGCCACATCTGCAGTAGATGCAGATACACATTAGGAGCACCTGGTCACTTATACTCATTACAGCAACTGCTTAAGTATTCAGCAATTTTCTTTTTTCTTTGAACTTCTGATGAACAGATCACCCAACTGCTAATTAATATTTACATTTTCAGTTCTGATAATAAAGTCTCAAAAAAAAAAAAAAGAGGGACCTTGACAGGCTGGCAAAGTGGAACACTGCCAGCCTCATGAAGTTGGCCAAGTGCAAGGTCCTGCACC